AATACAATCTCGCGCAGGGAGAGAACACCCCAGACTACGCCGCCCCACATTTTGGAATCGGCGCGCAGTGCACCATCCTTTCGAAAATACCCGGCGCCCGGCGGGCGAGGCGGCCGATTGGAGTGGAAAGTGATCACCTGGCGAGCTTGCGACGAAAACGAGGACCCACCTTCTGACCGGAATGGCGTCTTCGGATCGCCTCATACGAGGCCCTCTGATCGCCGGAAGGTTGGAGGCCAATTGAGGTCGCGCGGCGAACGGCCTAGCTAACCACAGCGGGGACAGACATGAATATTATACCATTGCGACCACGCGTCTGCACTTCCAGGAAACTGCGTGCCCCAACGGGCCAGGACGAAATGCTCAGCTAAGGCGGCGCGGTCCTGCACGACCGCGCTGGCCACCGGGAGCTCGGCTGCCAACGCGAAGTACGAGAGACGGCGGTTGGGAATGGAATTGACAACTTCAAAAAAACACGACCCCGCTGCCGAGCGCCACCCGCCGGGCCCGGCCGCGACATCTGCGAGCGCCGCGGCTTCAGCCGCAGCCACTTCCCGCGGGATCTCGCAGAACTGCCGCAAGTAAGACAGAACAAGGCCACACACATATTGTAGACGCGAGAGTTCATCTGCAACCCGAGACCAAGCTCGGACCGCAGACGAGCTCCACTCGAATATTCGGCCCGGGTTGAGCCCATTCGGCCTCGCACATCGCAAAGCCAACTTTGAACCCCAAGCAGGCGACGTGCACTGCAAAACCCGCCCCGGCCCACTCAGGCAGCACGCCCTGCACTGCGCGACGAAACTGGCGCGACGAAGTTTCCCATGGCGGAGCGACGACGGTCTTCGCCACGTTCGGGCGCAGACCGGGGAACGCAGCAAATCCCGTGCACGCGCGCAAAACAGAGGATGCATCGGGCCAAAAATTGCGCCAGACCACCGCGTCGTCATCGGCATAGGTCCCCACTGCGCTTTGCGGTGACTGTCGACAAATGCGGCGCGGCAACATGTTAGTCGCCAACGAAGGGGTGGGAGAGGGCATCCTTCACGAACGCCGCTGGCCATAAGAAATCCCCCAAGCGCTTGCCCTCCCATTCTAATGGTGCAGACGTTGTCCTTGTTAAGATATCGGACAAGGTCACATATGAATGGTGGAACTCCAACGGTGTCAAGGGCAGCCAACATGAAGCTCTGGGGTGCACTAGGGAACGCAGCTTCAAAATCAAGCAGCATGAGCGCAGCTTCTCCTCTCCTCGAGGCCGGCCAGCATGCAGGCGCGATCAATTTCGCGCGCGTTCCGAATTGCAGAGCGCCCCTGAAGGAAGCCCCGCTGCATGGGAGACGCCACTTCGTCGGCGATCGGCTCCCAGAAGTCTCTATACGAGCTCGCGATCAACACCTTGTCAGCGCTGGCTAAAGACAGTGACCGCGTCTTGTCGGCCGCGTGAAACCCCCCGAAACTCGGATGCTCCCCCGCGCGTTTTGCTGGGGAGGCAACGCAGATGGCCGCCGATGCAACTCGGCGGCAGCACGTCAATCGCAGCGCAATCCTGCAACGAAGCCGCGGGATCAAACAAAATAAAGGCGGCTAGACCTTCGACTTTTTCCCGGGCCCGGCACGAGGTCCCATCCGGGCCAGGGGGGGGTCGCTGGAAGCGCGGATGGCCTGGACAACGCGCGCGAGGCGCAATTGCCTTTCCGAACTCTTTGCCGGCAGCCCCCCCCTCCAGCAAGAGACATGGCGCGTTGGGCGCCCCATTCGCGCATTCCGTCTACACCAACAGATCGACAGGGGAAATCGCCCCGATGCATTTTCCAGGGCGGCTGCGAACTCCTAGCAACCCCGCGAAGCAAGAACAAAAAGAGCCGGACATCTTCTGGGGAAAAGCCGCCGAACCTTCCGTAAAATATGTTCGCGCGGGATGTCAGCTCAAAATCGGGCATGCTCTTCCTGCCGCGCCAGCTCCACGCAAAGGTCCGGCGCGGGCTCAGGGCGGGGCCAACGAGGGCGCGCAGAGGAGGGTGGAGATCGAAAAGATGTTGAGCACGGTCCGCACCCCGGCTCTCAAGAGATCTGAGAAGGCACGTGGATGCGCGAAGCCTGTCTTCTGCGCCAGCGGCCTCTCGAACGACGATCGATCGCTTCAATTTTGCGGCAGCGCGGCGCATAGACAATTTCATGTCTAAGCTTGTCAATCGGAGGGGCACGAAGGGTGAAACTGGGCCCCCTGTCAAATTCCTGCTGAACGTCCTGGGCACAGTCTGGGTGCTCTACATGCGCGGCCGGGAGCACTCCGGCACCCACTCTGCCAGACTGCCCTTCGACACGCCCCCGAGCAACAAAAACACAAGCCTGTGAGCAAACAAACGAACTGGAGAAGGCAACATTGAACACTCAATGCTTCGGTCAAGCACCCCGCATGTGCGCTGGTCGCAGTAAATGCGGTCTATGCGAGCGAAAGCAATGCCACTACCACAAGCGAAACCTTCCTGCACCCATTCCTTCAAAGAGAACGAAAATGCGGAATGCGGCTGCCTCAGCACAGTTTGCGCGCCCGAACCATTGTCCAATATGTTTTTTTGTTGCCAGCGGTCGCGCGTTTTCTCCGCGAAAATAAATTCGCCAGATATCACAGAAATGGCATTACGAGGGACAGAAAATACGCGGCAATAACCTTCGCGCCGTCTGCACGGGCAACGGGAGAGTGCGCATCAAGATAAAAATTCCACGCGTCCAGACTGCCGCAACGGCCACGGAGGCGCAGGACTGCAGACCTGCCAGCTTCCACGATGTGAAACTGATGCGAATCGAATTGGGGGAAGAACTTCCTAGAGACCAAAATGGCGATCCCAGCTTGAGACCGGCTTAAATGAAACCAAAATGAACGGGAACCATGGAATTCGTCGAACGCGAGCTCCCGGCCTTCAGCACCATGGACCTTCTGCAGGCTTACGAAATCGACTTCCTGGGTCAACGGATCCACAACCGTATGTCTGCGGTGTTGCTGTCTTAACCTGCTCGAAAAAATGCTGGGGAATTCCAAGAACACCAAGAAAAGGTCCCCCCGAAAAGAGGAACAGAAGAGAAGAGCGGAGGGGGGTAGGAGGAGACGTAGAGGAAAGAACGGGGGAAGAAGGAGAAGAGACAATGACCCCAGAACTGGGCGGCAAAAAAAGGGGTCACTCACGCAAGGCGCGAACGACCGAACGACCACCAGCTTCAAGTCTCTGCCCGTGAACGACCAGCCCATGCTTTCCACGTTCTGACAAGTGATATCCATGCGGACGAGCACGCCATCGCCGTTCAGTTCGCCGATCCACGTCTCGTTCACCACCAGCACACCCATGCGAACGCCGAAGTCAATGGAGCCTTCTTCCACGCTGTTGTTCGCAAAGGCGCTCTTGAGTATAGCTACTCGGCGGACCCGTGCACCATAGACTGGTCCACGATCGGGTCCTATAATGATCGGCGCATGCTTGTAAAGAAATCCTGTCGGTGTTCCTGGCCGTTTCGATGAAGTCCCCCATTTTGTCCGTCGTTTTGAAACACGCTGCGCGTCTCTCTCCCCATTTCCTTGTGGTGTATGCGTTGCCGTCGACCTCGTGCGCATGTTCCCCCAAGTTCGCAATGATGAACTCCACGATGTTGGCCTCCTTGGTGTCCTTCGGGAATCCCTTGAAGATTGCCGTCCGCCCGAGCTGCTCAACCGTTTCCTGGGGCATGGGGTTGCTGTCCTGGTCGATCAATTTCAGGGGTTGCGTTCCAGGGCGCTCAGCGGTCTTCGCAAGTCCTGTTTCGACCCATGGCTTGAGAGATCATCTTCGTAACGTCCTCCCTGCTGACCCTCTCCACCCTGAGCTTCGCGGTCTCGAACCTCGTAGCAACCACACTCTCCTGAGACACTGCCCTGCGAATATCCTCCTGGTTTGCCGCGAGCTACGTTGTGACGTCCCCGATTTGATCGTCGAGATGTTTGGTGACCTCCGTCTTCACGTTGTTCGCCATCGTCGTCATGTGCATCACCACCTGATCCATCATCGTCTGAATCTGGCCGAGCGTGGGGGCCGTGTTCAAGTCCCCGGCCACCGCAAGCCATCAAGAAGACGAAGACAGACGAACTGCCCAGAGCGTTCCCCGCCGGAGCGACGCGAGCCTCCGCAGTGTCGCAATCCATCTGTTGGGGCTCTGTCACCCGAGCCCACACGTCCCTTGAAAGAGCTTCCTTCTTCGGAGATCCCTTCTCTTTCGCTCCCGACATCCCGAGCCCCCGCTCCCCGAATCAACACAAGCTCAGACTGAAACCCAAGTCTGAGCAATCCCTGGCGATTGCGCTGGAGAAGGGCAAAGTAAAAGTACTGTGTAACCAGACGCTGGTGCGATCTTGGAAGCCTTGAGCCGTCAGCCCGT